TGCAATGTGAAAAGGCTACCAAAGGAGACCTCCAAGAGAGGGGCAAGGTGTCGAGCGGGGAAGCCAGAATAGTCGGAGAAGAGAACATGTAGTCAGGGATGTGGTGAATAAACTAGGGATAAGAGTTGTAGTGGTCGTAGACAAAGGTGATGTCAGCTCAACAAGAAGTGGCATGAAGGTGTGTCAATCGCATGTAGAAGCGCGACGCAATACTCGAGTAAGCAAGAAAGGAACCAACAACGTGATGAAGACGACGTGCAGAGGTTGATGATATTGCACCCAGGGAATGACAAGTCGCGTGAGGTGACACTAGGGCTCGAGTGGTGATGTAGTTGACGCTCATGTGTGATGCAATGGCTGAGGTGGCCATGAAAAATGTTCGCAACTAAGAAGGCGCTTTGGCAGCTGGCAACAAGGACCATATGCGGCAACGCCACTGCACGAAGGAGCGACATAGTGGTAGTCCATTGCTCAATCGGTGGAGGAACACACATACTCGGAGAAGCTGGTTGACTGCTACATAACTTATGCAGAAAAACCAACGCAGGAAGATCGGTAATGTTGCATGTTCGGATAATCAAATGGAGGTACGCATGGTGTAGATCTTGTCAAGACGTGGCCACGATAGTCAGGGGTGATGCCGCACATATTGGAGTTGCTGGTGGCGATGTCGAAGATGGCTTGGTGGATGGTGGCACAACGAACCAACCGTGTATGTTATGCGTACAAGAGCAACCGATCTGATGCATGAAGGAATCCTTTGTACGGCGTGTCCAGCCTTACCCCATGGTTGTTGATGAGGAAATAGTCCGTGAAGCATTGAAAGTGATGTCAAAGTAGAGGCGCGTCAGGATGATGAGCAGTGAGAAAAACCTATAATCAGGAAAATACTCTAATGGGGAGCCAATCAAATCTGATTGCGGACGAATCTAGATACGGGTTGGGGAAACCCCCAGTAGAGATCCCGAAGATCGGTCTCCTATGGGTGGGGGGAGGGTGGGCATCATAGAAGTTGTGGTTCAGCTTGGTCTATAATCTTGCACCTGATACCAAGAAACAGGATAAGAATTGGATAACTCAATGTTTGTATCCAATTCAATGAAGTAAATTGCACAAAACCATCACTTTGAAGGCTAGGTTTGCGAAAAACACTACAATACATTTTTTTTGCAAAAAACACCACGTCTACGGTAATCTTTTTGCAAAAAACACTAATCGACGGATCGGGCTCGGTTAATTGAGTTTATGACAAATGGGGCCCGCCAGTCAGGCTGACATGGCACCAGTTTCTCACACCGTTACATGAAAACGTTTGCTGAATGTGGGGCCCGCTTGTCAGCCTATCAAGCCTCTCTTTGGCATTCCATCGAACAGTTTGAGTGCAGTGCACACGCCGGCGGACAAAGGCCGGCGTTGCGAGTCTCAGCCAGGCGAGGAAGGTCAAGGACGGCAAGGACCGTGGCGCCGGGATGCGGCGGCCGTGCTCAAGGACGAAATCCGTGGGGGAGCACTGGTGGCGGGGAGGCCTCTGCCTCGGCCGAGGGCAGACGAACGGCGACATCTGCCTCGATGCGGCAACGACGATGGCAGGCTCTGCCTCGACGCAGACCTCGCGTGGCTCGCGAGGGCGCAGGGATCCCATTGCCCCCTCGCAGTCCTCAACTCCTTCCCCAAGCCTCAGAGCTCCTCCCCCCTCCAATGGCCGAGGTGCCGCCGCCCATCCCGTTGGCCAAATTCCTTGCCAGCAGCCCTCCCCTTCCTTTCCTTTGGCGTAACCGACTCCTCTGGATGCCCTCGAACTGCTGCCGCCCCCGAGTTCCTCCGGGGAAGCCCTGCGGGCGCCTCCATCGCAGCTCTTCAGCGCCGTCGCGGCTTGGCCCATGGCGGCAACGCTGCAGGCTATCCCATGCGACCCCGCAACCACCCCCCGGACGCGGCGCGGGGCGCCTGTTCCAGAGCCGTCATTGGCGAGCTCCCTCGGGCCCCGGTCGACTCCAGCGCCGGCGGCCACATCGCTCCTCTGTCCAACGGCGTGAGGTTGACGAGCACGGACCACCAGCTTTTTTTCTTTTTTCTTTCGATGACAGGTGGACCCCACAGGGCCACACGGGATGATAACGTTTGCCAACGTCGCAATTACTTAGTCGGTGCCACGTCAGCCTGACTAGCGGGCCTAATCTGTCATAAACATGCTCAATCGAGTCAAATCCGCCGATTAGTGTTTTTTGCAAAAAGATTACCGTAGACGTGATATTTTTTGCAAAAAAAATGTATTGTAGTGTTTTTCGCAAACCTAGCCCTCAAAGTGGTGGTTTTGTGCAATTTACTCAATTCAATGTTTGTTGTTGAGCGACGAACAGTTCACATAGAGTGCAAGGCTGGGACAAGAAGTCTCTTTGTAGAGATGAAGGCAAAGATAGACTACAAATCATGTACTATCAGATACAAAGATATGTCAATACAATTCACCGTATGAAAGCTTCGTATTATCTATCTAGTTTCAACTGGTTTTTCAATTAATAGGCAACATGTTCTTCCATAAAATATTGCTGCCCCCAAGAGACTTTCTTTTTTTGCGGAAGAAACTTCAATCTATTCATCATCTAGTAGTCCGGAGATGTAGCAAAAATTACAACCAGCTCTATGGACCACCTAGCAACAATTACAAGCACCGAAACGAGCCGAAGGATAAGAAGTACTGCCCACGTGAGATTTTCACCAAAGAATAAAAATTGTTTTCATCAGCAGATTTTGACCGAAGAATAAATCTTGGTTTTTGTGCAAAAGCTCTTCCGTTCCAAGAAATGGTATTAACATATTTATATGAATCCCCGCAAAAAGTAATACTCTTACTATGTCGTGCCTACAGTACACAGTCTTTCCCTATATTTTTGCAAGGTTTTTTTTTCTACAGGACTTGTACCCATGACCTCATAGTCACAAGGCAACAGTTTTACCATTACGCCAAGGCTCCTCTTCATTTTTCATATTTCCAATTTTGGAGAAAATTCATCGTACGGTCTAATATTCTATGCGTTCATTTGCATAAATCAGAGGCAATCTTTTTCAATCCACATGTTATCATTCATACAATTTGTATGTGTTTTGTGGTCGCCAGTTTTCTCTCCCATCCATGTAAAATTCTTGTGTGTTTTCCTTTATATGTTTCTCGTCCATATTATCCAACGAGGCACTTAACACTCTTGTCTTGCCCTCGCTGCCCACGTCTGCTATATGATTCCCCTTTCATTCCTCCCTTCTGTCATATGATTCTCCTTTCTGGGTCTCGCTCTTTCCATTCATTTTTCCAGCAAAGCTTCAGCTTACAGATAAGCACCTAGCTGGCGTGAAGTGTCCATCTAACATGGCACCTTATTCTCCTCCTCCTAAACGCTACCCACAAGAACCGGCAACAAATGCATCTGGACAAAAACGCAAGTCAACTTTTCGACTATGAGCATGCATCAGCAGCAGTCGCTACGTGCTACTAGCCCGCTGGGTTAGCCTGTCCAACTTTGCATGCTTCCCTCGAAGACGTGAACGAGATGTGTAATATTTGGATCCTACAGCTCCTCCGTCGCTTTCGGTCACTACGTGGGAAGCGGGGACTAGTCCGAGTCAAATTTTAGCGCTATCTAGGCGCTGTGGAGCTGGACGCGGCTGACTAAGCCGTGACCAAACACGTCGCCGCCAAGCTGCCTCGACCCGGCCACTGCTAGATATTAACCATGCAGCCAGCAGACAGACGAAAGATGAAACTATTTTGTTTCTTGACACTGACAGCTGAAACTATTAGCACAACAGAATGTTCCCAACAGGCACGATGCGGTCTCGTTTCCAGTCAACATCAGCAGCACACGATACGATCCTCGGTGACGGGGTGAGGGAAAGCAGGGTAAGTATTTACCGAGCAAGCCTATTCTACCTCCAGCACTCGCGCTGCTCAAGCTGTGTACAACGACGGAGACCCTACATACAACTCGTTGACGGGCAGGGAGGGAAGGTTGGCAGCTGCTGCTCGGCAATCTTCGTCCTCGCTTCGGGGTTCGCACCAACGCCTGCGCCCGACGCTTGCGGAACACAGACTGAAGGGAATTGGTTTTTCTGCAACATGAAGCAACCATATGATATGCATCTCCTCTAGTGCGAGCATCTCTTTGTAGGTGATTAGATGATTTATTATTATATATTAGGGCCGGCTTAACCGGCAATGGTTCCCTTGGAAGCATGGCAATTGCGAATGATTTGCATGGCAGTTTATGTTGGCCAAGGATGGTAAGTTTAGTTGGCAAGCACGACAAATCCGCCTCAGTTCAGTTTATTGTCAGGATTTGCCGTGCTTGCTAACTAAGGCCTCCTTTGGTTCATAGGGTACGAATACCATAGGAATCAGAAAACCATACAAACCAGATTCCCATTCCTATGTAGGATAGGAATCAATCCTTCACATTTCAAAGGAAAAAAAAACATAAACCTAGACTCAATGAAAAAATCCCTATCCTATGCATCAAATGGCATGTTTTACCCATAGGAATTATATAAGATACAAGCCATCTCACTTCCTATGGTTTTCCTTTTCCCATGGTAGTCCTATCCTATGAACCAAAGGAGGCCCAAATTTGCCATCCCCGCGGCAATATAAATTGCCATAAAAAAGGTTCATTTTGCCATGACCTCTAAGGGAATGTCAGCACAATAATATTCCCCTATATATTAATGAGTGCAAGTTAAATGTGTAAGCACCTACTAAGCATTGGTGCATAATTACGCACTGCTGATCTTTCAAAATAAGCACCAATGATCCTACAACCAAAAAAGGCTGATTTATTTTTGCTAACCGCTTTATGCTATTATTAGGGACAGTCATTTGCTGTCAGAGCACTAATTTAATGTATAATACAAATAAAAGCTTCTGGACAAAAACAAAATGAAATTCACTACAGTAAATAGAGTTTGATGATGATAAATGATCAGTGTGGCCTACTTCTCTTACCTAGAGTTTATTTCAGCTGCTCCTTTGCATCCACAACTGCAGCTTCCTCTTTAGGCACGACATCTACAACAGGCTCGTACAGGTACCACTCCTTCTTTTTCCTAATATATGCAAAACAGACAGTTTTAATAGAAGGCCGGAGCTGCAACAAATCCCTGCCTTAGTCCCTATAAGTGCGGAATAAACAGTGTGATAAAAACCAAACTGTACAAGTCATGTCTATAAAAGGCTTTATTATAGCAGATCTTACCGAATGACGCTTCCTTTGCTCCCAAAATACTTGAACATATCCACTGCGTTGTTCATGGCTTTACTGCAAAAACATGGGCACACCATTTAAAATAACAGATACAACATGTAAATAAGGGATGTGGCATAGTTTGGAAAGGTTTGCCAGTCCTGTAGTAGTTCCACTAAAAACTGAAGACTCAACAAAAATAACATCAGTAGACACTTCCACGAACCTATTAGAGGCAAATTCTGGTGCTCGCCTTTTCTTTGACATTTTAGCTTCTCTCATAGCAGAAACAGTCTGGCTAGCAATCTGTCAAGTTCATGTCGTTTGTTTATTCATGTTGGCCAACAAATTATCCTATCCAATAACTAGTGAAAGCCAAATTTTGCAGGTATTTACTTGAAAAACAAACCAACAAAGAAATTTCATGAAATTGTAAAGATAAATAGCAGAGGAAGTATATCTAACCTCATAAAGTTGCTCACGGATGCAAACAGCTATTGCAGGCTGCACATCAATTAGCATGATTTTATCAGTGTAAAACAAAGTTACTGAAATACTACACACCATCTATACACCAATAAGAAATGTCCATTTAATAATAAATATGTATCATGCATAAAACAACAATACCAAATAAAGGTTAGAATTGAGTTTGATAGCGGTGCAAATTGCTGTCAAATCCCAGAAATATACATGTAAATCCAAAACTTTAGGACAGATAAATTAAATTCAACAAAGCTTCAGAACCAATAGATATAATGAAGGTTAAAGCCGAAACATCTACAAGATTCTTCCAAACGTAAAATAGAAGAATCAGGCTGCTGTAGGAACATCAATGTCTAAAAATCTTGTACGCAAGTTGGCACAGCGCTTTCAATCAATCTCGCTCAACTTGTTAGTATTCTTATGTTTAAATGGAAATTTCAAGTTCCATGTATATAAATTACAACGATACTAGGTAGGAAATGTTATGTGCATAGCGCGATCAGGTGGCTTCCTTCTTTTGTAAACAATAGAACCAAAAAGGCAACCCCACGCGACCAGGTCCCCTATTTTCTGGCGAGTTGTCCCCCTCCCTCTCTAGAAAGAG